ATGTAATTAAAAACCCAATTGAATTATAAGCAAGTTACATTACACAAGGGTTGCTATGGCAAGGCTGACAATAACCTGAGACTTCCAGGAGGAGGGGCTTCCCAATCTGCACCCTGTCAGTCAAAGCAGCTACAGTGGCCTCATGAACAAAAGGCCCTCTGCCTCTGTACACTGCCAACCAGCCCGTCTTATTCCCAGAAGGGAAATACTCAGTGGAGAAGCATCTGTAGGCAAATAAAAACCAGACCTTCTTCTCAATACCAAACATTAAAACACAGAAACTTATCTGCAGGTCTTGAATCAATGAGTGAGCAGTTAAACTCATTATATTATATGAATATTATAATATAATATTTATGAATATTTTTTTTCTTGGATGGTCGAAACTAGAATAGATGTTCTATTTTGGTTTAACATTTCTCCAGTATTCCTCTGGCTTGTCCACATGATCTTTAGCAAACTGCAGATGGGCAGCAATGTTCTTTTTGGAGAGCAGTGGCTTTCTTCTTGCAACTCAGCCATGAAAACCATGGTTGTTCAATGTTCTTCTGATGATGGGCTCATAAACATTAACATTAGCCAATGTGAGAAAGGCCTTTAGTTGCTTAGAAGTTAGCCTACATTCCTTTGAAACCTAGTGGATTTTTACACGTCTTGCTTTTTGAGTGATTTTTGTTGGTGGAGCACTCCTGGGGAGGGTAACAGTGGTCTTGAATTTCCTTCATTTGTACACAATCTGTCTGACTGTGGATTGGTGGAGTCCAAACTCTTTAGAGATGGCTTTGAAACCTTTTCTAGCCTGATGAGCAACACCAACACTTTTTCTGAGGTCCTCATTTGTTTGTGCCATGATACACATCCACAAACATGACCAAAATTTGATAAATCTGTGTTCTTTAGATAAAACAGGCCACACACTGACACCTGATAGCCATATCACTGATTAAAAACACCTCTGAACAGATGGACTCTAATTTCTCCTTCAAATGAACAGCTAATCCTAGAGATTCACATACTTTTGCCACTCACAGATATGTAATATTGGCTAATTTTCCTGAATAAATAAATGACAAAGTGTATATTTTCATCTCATTTGTTTGATTGTTCTCTTTGTCAACTTTCAGGACTTGCATGAAATTCAGAGGATTTTTTTGGGTTATATTTATGCATAAATATAGACAATTCTAAAGGGTTCACAAACTTTCAAGCAGCACTGTAAGCATTTTAGATGCTTAGATTGTAGGGTTTTTTCTTTTTTAATATTTTTTATTTATTTTATAGTTTATAATGATCTTTATTTTATTTTAATTGTAAAAACTGAATAATTGTATAGAGCTGTTATATTGTCTGCACTTCCATTTTTTTTTTGTCAAAAGTACAAATATTCAGCCATATGAAATCATATTTTTTGACTTGAATAAAAAATTAATTTGTATATTATTTAGATGTACAATATTTCATGATTTTATTATTCACAGTTTTAGGTTACCTCACATAACGTTTTACAGTGTAATTTCATTTGTAGTGCAGATAAAAATGTAGTAGAAAAAAAAAGATCTTACCCTTCACTGAAACACAGCTTGGAACATAATGGATGCTCCGTTTCTTGACAATGGAGTAAGTCCAATGAGCTATAGTTGCTGAATTCAAAGTACCATTGAACAGCTGTAAAAAAAAGTGTCATGATATTATACACAGATCTTAATGTTTACCAAAATTATTTATATTCCTCAAAAGAGTTTTAACAAGGCCTTATTTGTGACGCTATTTCAGAGTTGCTATACATACCATATCCCGAGTTTCCCTTGACATGTCTGAGAGCAAAAATGAGTGACAAAATTAAACAAAATACAAACCGACATAAAAGAAACATCGTAACAATCTGAATGTCTCTCGTCACTAGTGCGAATGGTTTTGTCTGAAGTCGCAGTGAACAGGTGAATAGGAGGCGTGACTTCTTGATTGACAGTTGCATTTCTAAACGATCGATTGTATTCTTATGCGTTCAGTCAGGAATCCCTATACGACAACATTTTTTATTGTAATGTATCGTATGCTATTATAGTTCTACTATTTTTATATCATTCTTAAACATTCTGGTCGGCACATGTAAGGGATCAGACATCAGAAGTTAAAAGTGCAATTATGTAGGCTACTTCTATTGAGAAGTCATTATGATTGCTGGAACTTAAACACGAATCAATTGCATAGTTTTTGTTCAAATCCTCAGTTTGTGTACCGACTATTAAGATCCCGTACTTTTTTCGCTGCATAAAAGGGTTTTCACAAGTAGCCTACGCTTTACACCTTCAAACTGCAAATTCGGCGACTTTTAACTCATGCAAAGAACAATGACTGCAAGTTTCACACAGGATAAACAACGCCTGTATATGACACATGTCGTGACTGTATTCAAACAGGAAACCGAATAGAATGAGAGAAGACAAACCAAAAAAAACACTCTCTTTAAATAATCCAAAATACTCCCAAACATATATGTTCATGCATATAGTCATATAGTCATCAGAAACTGATGGAGATATAGTAGCCTACTCGGATGAAACACGGCACATTAGCTAATCAAGTAAATGCTGCATGCTCCTCTAAATCCATAGCAATTGGTAAAATAGCCTATAGCGTTATGCATTATAAGATTACATTTTGTAGGCCTATTCCTGCTTTGTGGTCTGTTTATGTAGCCTATGCGTTCTTGTTAAGACAGAGGATGTGAGAAAATCTCAGCATGACACATGTCGTGACTGTATTCAAACAGGAAACCGAATAGAATGAGAGAAGACAAACCAAAAAAAACACTCTCTTTAAATAATCCAAAATACTCCCAAACATATATGTTCATGCATATAGTCATATAGTCATCAGAAACTGATGGAGATATAGTAGCCTACTCGGATGAAACACGGCACATTAGCTAATCAAGTAAATGCTGCATGCTCCTCTAAATCCATTAGTAAAATAGCCTATAGCGTTATGCATTATAAGATTACATTTTGTAGGCCTATTCCTGCTTTGTGGTCTGTTTATGTAGCCTATGCGTTCTTGTTAAGACAGAGGATGTGAGAAAATCTCAGGTGAAAGCGTGGATGCCTGTGTGTAGAGCCTGCTGACAAAGTCAGACTGATCACATGCCAGTGATGTTTTTAGCTTCAAAGACTTTTCCGAGATGGACCACGTCAGGATTAGTGAGACACAGACATTTATAGGTGAGGCATGAACATGATCAGTTGTAGTGGCCCACAACAGGAAGCCAAGTGCTCCATCCCACTGAGAAATCAGAACCTGCCACTTCAAACATCAGCTCTGGGGGATTCATATCCGTGTTCCACTGTGATGAATGAGAGCTGAAGTGGACCATTGAATAAAACCAGCTTTTCCTTGTGCTATAGGCTATAACACACTATATAACAGGGATCCTCAAATCTGGCCCACGAGATTCACTTTCCTGCAGAGTTTATCTCTAACCCTAATCAAACACACCTGAGCATGCTAATCAATGTCTTCAGGATCATTAGAAAATCACAGGTAGGTGAGTTTGATCAGGGTTGGAGCTAAACTCTGCAGCGCATTGGACCTCCAGGGTAAGATTTGAGGAACCCTGCTATATAAGATGTAGTTTTGTTCTGTTTGAGTGCTAGCTCGGGCGGAGAGGACCGCGCCCCCTTGCGTTTACCTGTGTAGGCCTGCAGATTAATTAACAAATCGACAAAGATAAGCCATTTGCTAATGAACTCTTCTTTTGTTGTTCCAATTAATTTCCTATTTCCAATTAAATATCTACCTACCCATTCAATGCTTATTGTGTGCAACAAAGCTATTCATCTTAGAAGCCTAAATAAACAGATTTTTACATAAGGTAAATTCATATTTTAACATGTATTTTAAATATAAGTTCATTTAAAAAAATCAAAATCAAACGTTAAAACAAAAAAACAAATGAAATAAAACGTGTGACAATTTAATTTAAATGTAAATATTTGTTAAATATCATAAGTTAATACAAAAAGATGTTGTTTTTTAAAAATTAAATAAAACGTGGTAGAAAGCAATGTTTTCAACAATTAAAAATCACCCAAATATATTATCAAATGACAGCTGTCGTTGAACAAAAAAGAGCTGAGCGCGTTCTTTAGATTTTAAGAAAACAAAATTGTCTATAAGAAAGCAGAGACTTTATGGCGCATTGGTTGCATGTTTCATAACTAGGCTACATTAAGCTTTGTTAGATAAAAATCCACTGTTTTATTACGGTATATTCGTTTGACAGTTAAGTTTAATATTAACTTTACTAAAGGGTGTGAATGTTCGTTACGTTTCAAGAGGCCCAAAAAGGCCTACAAGATTTAAAAGCAGATTAACTTTGAATGATTTGCTATTAAATAGCCTACCGTTTAAACAATAAAGTGAAAAAAATCGGAGGACATTCATATCATGGACAGACTGTCTCAACTAGCCTAAAGAGGCAGGAGGAAAACTTCTGTTGTCAGTTTTCATTGAATCTACGCATAGCAGCTTGCAATCTGGTGCACACGAAGGTTTGTGGGTAGGCTATAGCCTTCTCATTTAAAAGCCTCAAGCGTATATGGCTTAATTATTTCAAGGTTTCTTCCGTTTCTTGGGCATGGCAGTGGTTGAAAACGCGATGCCACAACTGTTATTTGTTTGTTCCGACTTTGCGGTAAAGGAGGCAAGTCAGAGAGGACACTTGAAGAAAATAACTATGACAAACCATCCCCTACAATAGAGAATATTTAAATGATTTCAATTATATTTAAGTTGACAAATTAATTTCCTGCAAACGGCTTCTGAATCAATACAAATTCAAATAGGCCCGAAGTGATCTGGAACTCTGATTTGGTAATCAAGGTTGTGAATTGGACAAAGCTGTGGGATGGAGACAATGCATAACCAAACAACGTCAATTGAAAAAGTAATCTGATTGACACCAGAAGATGAAACAATAAACAAAGAATGGGCTGCCATATGTTTAACAGCTGCTCTTTAATGTGTAGCCTACATTATACACAAATAAGACAGCAGGGGGCGATAATAAGTGAATGTGTAATTGCCAATGAAAATCAAATGTTCTGGGCTCGTTTCTCGGTAACGATCATATTTGTGTTCTCTACGTTCCCTTTCGAGCGTTAGTTCCTGTTCTGCGGGCATTTATTATAAACATTTTAACATGAACGCGGAAGTTGACTACTCGCTTTTTAATAGTTGTTGTTTGTTCATGACGTGTTAAATGTCAATCGCTAGTTATTAGGGCCTTTAGCACTAATCTATAATATTTATCGAGTCATTTATATAGATCAGTGGTCTTTAGGCTTTTTATTTTCTTAAATATTCTAAATTGTATAGGCATAATTATAATTGTGCGAGTCCTCTGTTAAGAACCTTGAGACATTTGCAATCTTTTATTTTCGCATTTTCATGGGGTCAAATTCTAAACAAGCTTCAGCGCCAGTGGAGACATGGAGGCAACGTTCACCCGTGTACTGAACCCTGTGATGTGTATGAGACAAGGGTATTAAGTCCCTTTGGTTCGAGGAGCTTCGTGTTGCGAGGTTCATGTTGCCAGTAGCCCACAGCAGTGTGAAACTGAGCGGTCTGCTCTTTGCTCCGTGAAGCGATAACGATGACAGCAATGCTGCACGACCTTGTGGTGAGTTGTTGGGAATGAAGGGTGGATTGTAGAAGAGGATGAAAATATGCTATGGGGAGATGTCTTGACGAATTGACGAAGCAACACATCGGCAATATGGCCGGTTCTCATGAACGGTATGATATTTAGCTACTACTTCGCTGATATGTTTTATCCTGTTTTTTTTCCAGCCTGCTTCTAAACATGAAACAAGTTAAGACATCAAAGCTAAATCAAAATGCTAGCATACATACATTTTAATAGTTTTTTTTTTTTAGTTTTTTTTACATAAGATGTTACAGATGTTATCAATAGTATGGTAAATTTTCCCTTTTCACAGCTTTTAAAAAGGCATCCACAAGTGTTTCAGTGAAGAAAATCACACTGGCTGATAGTTGTCAACCCTTTCCAGCAAGGTCTCAGAGTAACCAGGAGAATAATACCTGTAAAAGAAGGGCCAATCAGTGGAACAGCTAAAACTATACAGCACACTAACGTTTACAGCATTATAAATGCACTTTGGTTTAAAAAGATGTTGATATTGTACTGGTTATTTTTCATATAAATGTGTAAGAACCTGACAATCTCTTCAGGGTAGCAGTTGTTGATTGCATTGATATATTCCTGAATTGCAGAACCAGGTTCTGCTTTGATCTCCTGTACTTTCTTCAGACCGCCACTGGTAACAAACAAGCGACGTGCCTTACTGTCATGAGGAAGAACCTGTAAGATTGGGAGGAAATAGAAAAGCTATATGAACTATTCTTATTGGGATTAACAAATGCTGATCTCATAAAATGTGTTGATGAAGTTCCCGCTACCTTACTGAACTGGCAGATGACATGTTTAAGAATGTTGCTGGGAGCTTCATAGAGAAGAGGCTCCAGTGCTGGTAGATAAGTGCACTTCTGAAGGATGCTCTTCAGTGCCTTCTTGGCCTTTTTCAGCATGTAAACAAAGCAAAGAAGAGACAACAATTACTAAAAATCTAATCTAAATGTCAGTGGTAAAAAATCATTTACACCAAAATGAAAAACGGTACCTCTATCAGTCACTTTAAGAATGGGCTCACCTTGACCTGCAGATCTTCAGCACTTTCAGTGTCCAAATAGAGATTTAGGAGTTTAGGGAACACATTGGCCACAGCAACAGCTTTTGCATGCTCGGGTGTGTGTCGGCCGATTTGGCCAAATGCCCAAGCTGTTGCTGCTTTGATGTGATCTTCTTGCTCTTCCTCCAGACAGATAGCCAACTGTGGCACTCCCTACAGAAGTGGAGAATCAATTACGATCATAATCAGTATTATGAGAGAAATTCAGTACTGTTCAAAAGTTTGGGGTTGGTAAGATTTTTAAAATATTTTTGAAAGAAGTCTCTTATGCTCACAAAGATACAGTAATCAAAATACAAATTACAGTAAGAACAGTAATATTCTGGAATATTATTACAATTTAAAATAACTGTTGTCTTTTTTTATATTTATAAAAATGTAATGTACTCCAGTGATGGCAAGTCTGAATTTTCAGCAGTCATTATTCCAGAATTCAGTATCACTTGATCTTTCACAAGTCATTTGTGCTGATTTGGTGCTCAAGAAGCATTTTTTTTACAATTATTATCACAGTTGAAAATGTGTGTACTGCTCAGTATGCATGTGAAAACCATGATAATTTTTTCAGGATTGTTTGATCAATAGAAAGCTCAAAAGAACAGCATTTATTTGAAATGTAATTTTTTTTGTAATAATGTAAAACTCTCTTACTTTTGATCAATTGAATGCATCCTTGCTGAATAAAAGGATTAATTTCTGTCAAAAAATAAATTATCCTGACCCCAAACTTCTGTGTAGTTATGTGTAGTTAAATTCAAATTTGACATGCAAGCTTATGAAAGGATGTGATAACAGACTTTAGATACAATCACAGCCATGGCTAAGTTCTCGGAGTGTGTAGCCACATAGCCCAGCATCATGATCCCCGGCAGGCGTACATTCCCTTTGGAGTCCCCGAGGTAGTCAATCACAGCTGCTACGCCCCCCACATTCACTATTATCTGGGACAGCTGAGTAGGAAACACACAATGCAAACAAGCAAACACATAAGCCAGTGTGACATAATGATAAACAATTAGTGAGGCAGACCAGAAAAGCAAAACAGTTTTGGGCAGGTGAAAAAAAGGGGTGATGCAATGCGGTTTCCAATTGTCTGTTTCCTGTGTTGCACTGGTGATAAATAACAGACCCACATTCTCCATGGTTTACAGACTAGCTGCCTCACACCATGTTATTTAAACAGGGGGTGTCAAAGAGCTGACAAAGTGGAGATTCCAAACTTATCCAAGCATCTTGAAATCATTTAGTGACTATGTTATGTATGTGGTAGGTAGGTACCTCAGGGTTGTGTTTTGTGATTTCCCGAATAAGAGTGGCAACATTCTTCCGAACATATTCATCCGGGTCCTTTAGGCAAACCAATGCAGCGGGGAATATCTCGGCCTCCACCACCATCTCGGCTACGTCTACGGAGTGCTTGGCGATTTGGCTGAGAGCTGAAAAAACCTGCCTCTGTAAAGAGGAGGAAAAAAAGTTAAGCCTGCATGTCACTGATTACAAAATCTGTAACCTGTGTCACCTTCAATTTGGCATCTGGGTTTAGGATCATCTGTGCTAGGTGGGCGATTGCCCCAGTGTCCACCACGGTTTGAGCCAGCTCTGGGGAGTGTTTGGCTATGTCACTCAGAGCGGAAGCTGCAACCCTCTTCAGGGCAATTTCAGGTTCCTGGATGCATAGCACGAGCAGAGGCACAACTCCAGCATCAACCACTGCCTGAGACAGCTCTGCACAGCAGGAGAAGAGATGAACAAAAGGAACATTGACGAATTGTGAGAAAGAATAAAAAATGACCTTTTTATGCAAACTTACGTGCATTATGTCTGGCAATGTAGCTTATTGCCCATGCAGCAGCCTCTTTGACCCCAGGGTCAAACTCCTCCAGGGAGATGACAAGCGCGTCCAGTGCTCCACAGTCCACCACGGCCTGGGCCAGTTCAGGGGAGTGCTTAGCAACAGCCCGAAGCACAAATGCTGCAGCTTTCTTATAGAAACGCTGTGTCTTTCATATCCCAGTAATCCAGAGGGAAAAGGACAAAGCAATTGACCAGTAAATACACTAGAATGTTCATAAATCACCTGCAAATCTGCCTTTAATGAACAGTAAGTGATCTATCACATTCTATATTATTCAGTTACATAAAAGGACCTTCTGTGGAAAGTGTTTTATACTTCTGATGAGGCCTCTCTGACAGCGTAATAGCATTCTAACAATGAGTTTTAGAGCAAAGCCTTTGGACCGCCAATTTATAGTGTTTTGTTTTCTCTGCTGAAGCAGACCAATATCACACCATGTCCATTCATTTAGGCCAGAGGAGAACTGGACCCCAACAGAGCCTGGTTTCTCCCAAGGGTGTTTGGTTTTTCCTTCAATTTCTGTCACCTGATGGAGTTTGGGTTCTGTCTTGGCACTGTTGCCTTTGGCTTGTTTAGCTGGGGTCTAAAAGACATCAATTTGCCAGCACTGACACTGTCGGGTGAGCATAAAAAAACTGAATTGAGCTGAATAATAAGACTATTGTCTACTGCTTAACAGATGAATCCAGTTTGTTCATAATTCATGAATTTTGCAACATTGACACTGTTATTGAACTGAATTGAACCAAAATTTAACTGACTTAAGCCGAATAACCACACTACTGTCTTCTTATCACCGAATTGAACTTGTTTTATAATAAATTAACTTAACAGATATTGAACTGAACTAAATAAGCACAGAACTGAGTGCAGTTGCATACTGACACTTATAGCTGCATTATAGCAGAATTTGGATTTGCCTGATTTGCATCATTCTGTTATTTCAAGTCAAGTAAATAAATTAACTTGACTTATTCTGAAGAATTCTTCTCCTGGCAAAAGAGACATGGTCTGAGATCTGGAGATGTTGTTCTACCATGATCTTTACATTTTCATAATGAAACAATATGTAAATGTTCAGTACCTGGCAACTGTCCTAAGTCCTGTTACTGTTTGAAGTCATTGAAAATAAATAGTGCAAACAAACCGTTTTTGCTTTGTTAAAAAACATTTAAAGAATAACAGTGCAAAAAATATGTAAATTATATAAGCATGGATTGCTTGACTGACAGTGTTAATGGAAATTTTTGCATTGTGCAAAATCAAATGTAGGCATTAAAGTTCGACACCTCAACGCAAACCTATTCATTCAAATTAGAGCTGAGAGGCACAGCTAAAGAAACTCACGTTTTGCTCAGCCAGGGAGTACACAAGCTGAGGAAGAATGTCTCCCTTTACTACAGCCTCAGCCAGGTCATCGTTATAGTTGGCAAGCCTTCCGAGAGCCAGAGCTGCTGTCTGCTGAATAGTTGGGACTGCATCCAAAAGGAGAGGCCTCAAAAGGGACATTACACCTAAGCCAGAGAGTGAGCACATTTGTGCAGGGGAGAAAACAGGAGTGGAAAGACACTCGAGAGTAGATGAGGGGAGGATATACTTTCAAAGATTCAAATCATGTAATAAAATATATCCAGTTCCAAAAGAGATCAGGATAAGCATGAGTGTATGTATTCCTTATTTCTGTAATATTAATTTAAAAAATGTAGCTTGGTAACTTCTTTTGAAGACATTGTGTCCAGAAACATTCATTGTACTGTGTTTGGGAGAAAATGAAAGATATTGTTTTAGATCCTTGTAAGTTACAAAGAAACACTTGCTATGGCCTCTTTTTTGCCCCCATCAGTCCTGAGTGTTGAACGGTTTGAAATAAACGCTTCTTCTCTAACATTGTAGGTAAGGACAAACAAACAAAGAAATAGATCAAATAAAATAAAATGAAATTTGAATTTGAATTTACTTGAGTTATGTGAAGGTTGGAATTTGGCGAATTTGTAAAAAAAAAAAAATACAATTATATTTAAATTATTAAATTAGAAATGATATAAGTATTATATAATAAGTATATACAAGCAAATGCCATACCAAATGCATTCATGCAGAAACCTCCCTTATACAAAATATTAATTTTAAACACTCACCAGCATTTTGAAGTGTTTCAGTATTTTGTGGTCTTGCTGCAAGATCTGCTACAGTTTGCACAAATTGTGTTCTTGCCTTCTGGTACTGCTCAAACACTGCATAATAATAATAATAATAGTAGACAAAATAAGACGAATCAATGCCCACAACTATGGCAACAAACTGCAAAATTAAGAACAGTAAGCAACTACTGGCCGTTTTAATTAACCTTTTACGTTTTTAACGTAGGCTACTTCAACGGGTCTCACTTTCTCACCTTGCAAAATCTGTCGTTGACTCATAGTTATATGAGTATCCCAAATCGGAGCAAAAACGACAAAAAAGCTGCGTGATTGCGACAAAAAAAAAACGTTTAAGCTTCCATTAGGAAAGAGCGTTTGTTGTGACTTTGAGTTTAGAGGAGGCGTGCAACCGTTGTCTTGGCAACAAACCGGAAGTGATAGGCACCGGTGAGTTTGCTGTCAATGTTCTTCAAATGTTTCGTGCTGAAACGCGCATATGTTCAAATCAGGGACAGTGCCGCATGCAGTTGGTGTCCAGATGTAATAGCAGGTAAAATAACTCCTAATTAGTTTGGGATATTATATAAGATCCAAAAACAGTCGATGGATGTGGGATATCGGGACAGAGCAGCTGCGAGAGGGAACAGCTGCCCCCACATTAGCTTCATGGTTATCGCAGAGACAACTGCAGTCACAGCAGCAGTACTGATATTTAGTAATTACTAGTCTTCACACTCGCACATTTTCTTTAAATAAACAAACAAGCAACTTGTGCTTGTTATAGTTCGTGCATCAATTTTTACCTTATTTGTATAGTTGTATTTTGTTTTTGTATTTAATCTGTATTTATGTTATCTGTATGCACCCAAGGGTCTGAGAGTAACGCAATTTCAATTCTCTGTGTGTATGTGCTGTACATGTGGAAGAATTGACAATAAAGCAGACTTGACTTGACTTGACTTGATATAGGCTTAGGCAAACATTTGTCTCGTTAAATAGAATACACACTTTCCGTAGGCTACGTGATTGTTCATTTGTGAGTTGTCGCTCTAGTTTATTATTGTTTAACCCTCTTCAAACTTTAATAATGCGGCAAGTTGGGCAGGCTACCAAATAGTTATGAATTCATAATTTCCCGACTGCCTTTCATATTTTCTTGTTGTCTCTAGGCGTATATGATGCATTTCACGCACTTTCTGTCCTGTAACTTGAGTGTTTGGCCAATCACTTGAAACTTTAGAAATTATTCTGTATTTAGTTATATGGGCCTAAAATGATATATATATATATATATATAAGCTTGTCATTTAGATTGTTATATCTGGACCATTATTGGATAAGTAATCAATTTATTAAGGTTATACACCTCTATTTAAAAAAGAGTTAAAAAAAACATTTCAAACAAATCGGGCTTTTAAACTCCAGCTCAAAGCTGAAAACTGTATTCATTAACTTCAATGTCACTTTTAACAAAGACATGCTCTCATAATGAGCAAGGCTTTTCAACAAATTTGTTTAAATGCTGTTGAATGTAATTAAGAACATGTAGGCCTACATTTATTCGAACGGTTCAGCATCAGCCAGGGCAAGTCAAAGTGAGCAGAGATTTCTGGAAAAAGCTGTTTTCTCAACATTTTTCTTCATTTTTAAAAAGAGATGAATTTGAATGTCACAAATTGAATGTAAAACATGTCCTCTAGCCTTTGCTCATTTCCACCTCTAAATTCACTACTAAGTAACATCACTGGTGGTAGGGATTTTCTTACGTCTTGTTTATTCTATAATAACATAAGCAATTTATAGTGTTATAGGTCCAAATTAGTTTTATAAGATACTAACGCGTTGCCAGGCTAAGTGGGCAAAAAAAAGAGAGAAAGATTACAGCCTTGAAAGATATTCAGTCAGACTATGCAAGTCCCAGCACCGATTAAATGTGCTGAGAAACTGCCTTATTCAAGATTTCTGAAGTCTTTGGAGACCATGTCGACGTACCAGATTATTACTGAAACTGTCAACTAACATATAAGAGATGAACTGCATACCCCGTTAAAATAAATAGCTTTCATTACCTCAGTGTAAGTAGCCCATTCAGTTAAGCACTCCTCGAGAGATTCACCGACAAATTCTCCGTTACTTTGCACAAAAAGGTCTGACTGAGTACTTACAGGCTACTTATAAGCTTGTCATCTATTTGAGCTACAGTTGGTGAAGTCAGCACCTGCATCACAATACCTTCTTCGCAACAGACATGAGGTCAAAAGGATTTGAATTAATCAGATTAACTTCTTCACGTTTATCACCAGTTTACCGCACAAGCATTTAATATACTGCCATCCGCGCTTAAGGATGTAGGCTGTCTTTATGCGTCAAAAAAAATAATAAAATAAAAATACTCGGCTGTTCTCTACTGGACCACACTTTATTATTATTTCTTTAAGTTTAATGTCTACTGAGAGAAGAGCTAATACTGGAAAGGATAAAGGGTCTCTTAAATACTAAAACATCAAGTTTGTTCACCATAATACTTATTTTACATACAAGTCTGAATAAATATATTCGGATATTGTGCAAATTCATGAAGATTTTCAGGTGTATGTAGATTTCTCTCTCTTTGTATGATTCGAAGCAGCATTAAAACGCAAGAAAACGATTGAAAGTGTAAAATGTTTTATTTAGATGTTTTATACTGTGCAACAGTCACAATACAATAGCTGTCAATAGTCTACAATCGACCAATAAGACAATGAACACTGAAGACATCAAAATATTGTCCAGAATAAGAAGTTTGGGGTATAACAGTGGCTGTTTGTCTTCTGACAAATTCGTGTATGTAATCGCTTGAATGCAGTCTGAAAGATATACAGGGCTGGAGCATGACCTCGAGACCAAACTGGGGGACCCGAACCGGCACAGTGGAGCAAATCGTACAATAACTGCAAAGATTAAACTTGAATTTCCAAGAACTTTGAATAATGAAAATGATTACGCCGACTACAACTTAACGTTGCATTTCTTCATCCCTTTTAACGCGCAGACCTAATATAGTATTTTGTCCTTTAATTTTGAACTATATATATGCCTTTCTTTGATACATTATTAAAGGCCAGAATATACCAGGAATGTTTAGTAACTACTCCAGAAAAGGCAAACTAATATCAAAAGTAAAGGCTTTTTATCATGCTTTTAAAGAACATTAAAATACACATGTAAAATACAAGCAACAGATAACGCAGTTTGTTTAGGGAAACTGTAGACCGAAAGTAAAAATATATATAAAAAGGTAGGTATAATTCAGTCATTTCTGCATTTTGAAATGGCCACAACCGTCGCTCTGCGCTCCACTTTGCAATCAAATGGGCCTCTGACGTTCTCACGCAAACTTCGAAATTCCAGCAATGTGAATGAAGTGCGCCATTTCCACTACGTTAAAGTTACATGTATAATATATTGATAATAATGACAAAAAGAAATGGATCTACATGACACTACGTTGGCATGGAAATAGCTGGAATATATCTGGCGTTGGCTTCATCGTGTAGTCCCTCATCATCCAGACGATGTGGAAGATCCGTTCAGCGCCGTCTTTCGCACTTTGTTGCCATAGGTGAACTGTCGAGTTGGGCTCGTCATCGTCGTGCCATTAATAGGATTGGAAATATGGGTGAAATGAGGTTGTGAAGGCTGAACCAGTGTGCTTGGACTCGGTAGAGGTGAGGAGGTGGATGGAACTCCAGCGGGACTGCTGGCCTTATCGCTGGCTGAATCGCTTTCAGAGCGGATTGTATTGTTCACGCCATCTTGTGGATGGGTTATCTTCACTTTTTTACAGCTGGGCCGCACGCGGTATTTCAGAGGCAGTGGTCCATTCTTTCGGAAAGTGCGAAAATAACACAAGGCACCTTATTACTGAACGGTGAATACTGAGCAACTCAAATTCTCAATCCACAAATTAACTAATTATCGAAAGATAGATAAATTACCTGCTTGAATATTTCACTTACTTCGAGATTTAAGACCAAGTGTGTAAAGTAACAGTCAGCAGTCAGATTTGACAGAAAAAACCGTCAGAACTTACTCTTCTCCAAGTGTAGATGTAGGCAATGTCCATTAATGTGTAGTAATCCTTCAAAGGCTCATCCTCATACATAACTTCAATCTATTAGAACAAAGAACGATAATATTTAAAAAAAACAAGCACCAGTCACTCAATATCACACCATAATGAATTATGCAAGATCAGCAAATAAATAACAATACCCCCTTTTTCTATAAAATTATGTAATGAAACACTGAACTACTAAACTTCCACTGTAACAAACAGATTTTAAAAAAAAGGCCAGAAACTAAAACTTCATCTGCAATAACACAGATCACATTACCTGAAAAGTAGGCGGTATATCCATTTTGCTTCTCAGAAATTTCCTCAAATGCATCACAGTCATTGCAGCAGGGCACTGTAAGTATCTTTTATTATTAACCTGTGTGGTTAAAAATAAAATAAATAACACAAATATATTATTCAGATACACTTTACTATTGGTGTAATCTGTATCACCATCATTACAGAGAGAGAGAAAAAAAGACTTTCAGCATCAGCAAGCACTTCTTAATTACCTCTTCTTTTTGCCTCTCATCTGTGCTGCCTTGCTGTTGGGCCCTGAACAATAAATAGTACAATTGTTGTAAATGAAATACTAAATTATAACTTCTCATGTTTCAAATAAAATCTCTTTACACTAGAAAATGGCCACTTCAGATTTGTGTACACATTTTTAAAACTCTTGTAAAAGCACAGACAGATACACTAACAGCAAAAATCACTTATACAGACATATGTAAACATACCTTTGATCAAAAAACTCAATTGACAGACTGATAATTTCATCATCTGTGATGATTCGCTTGTCTTCATCAGCAACTTCTCCTCGATCCTCATTTGATCCATTTGCAGCTTTGGGGGGAAAAAATGATGAATCATAGCTTAAATTTCAACAATTAGACCGAACAGTTACACAACACAGTCTGTGCAAACAGTTATCCTAACAAAACCAATTTATTTACTTGGGTACATTAAATACTTACCATCAACAGATGGGTGTTCAGCATAAAAATCTCTCCTACGCTTCATTTCATCTGCACAGAAAAAGAAATTTCCAGATCAAAGCATGTGTAAATAATTACAAGCAATAAAAATAATCTTTCACAGTGACTGACTTACTTTTAAAAAGACCAGGAACCAACTTGTATACAATGTCCTGTAGAGTTTTGTCAGACCTGTGGGGGGAGGGGTGTTGGTCAAACCTTCTTTTTTTTTTTGGGAAAAACTGCACTTCAAACAATGCTGTTGCAACCAACTCAAATTCATGTTATTTCCTAATTCTCACATTAAAAGGCATGAACAGAAAAGACAATATACAGCATTTGAAATAGAAACAAACAAGATGTCAGATGTATGCATAATCAGAATTCATTATTACTATGAATAACTATTTACAACAAGTGGAAAGCTGGAACAGACAGTGATTTTAAAGGTTACCGAATATTGAGAAGTGGCTTCGTTTTGTGGACCTGTACATCACATATGGGACAGTATTTACTGGCTTCCAGGTACCGGACAATGCACATTTTACAAACTGAGGACCAAAATGTCAGAGGATAAGCATGGTCTGGGTATGTTGCATGATTTATTATAGATATAGAAAAATAGAGCAGCACAACTCATACTCACATGAGTGCAAGCATTCTATGATTGTCGTTGCATCTATGAAATATCCACCACACAAGACACACATCAAATGGGGATTGAGCTCCGTAATCTTGATC